GACCACCTGGAAAGGTGCAGCGCTGAAATGGACCATCTGACCCAACAGCGAGACGACGCCAACGATGAGCTCTACGCGGTCAGAGATGAACTCCAGCACATTTTCCAACAGAAACCAGAGCCAAGAAGGGAGAGACCTCCCTCAGCATCACCCCTGCTGAGCAGAACAGAGTCCTCCATCCAAGAACTGGCATACAGTGAAATAAGTGAATGGCCACAACCCAAAACGTCACCGGCCTTCACCACAGAACTCTTCCCTGCTAACAAACGAAGAGAGCCCATCCAGGCAGACTCCAAAGCTGCACATGGGATGACCTTTAAAGATCTCAACCATCTGGTTAAGAATATCACTCAGTTCAACCCGAACTCCACAGAGGGTCCCGACATCCAGGCCTACCTCCGAGATATCGACTTCCACCTAGAGGTGAGACCCCATATGACTGACAGAGACAGGTTATACCTCCTCAGATCCACATCCAGTCCAGAGGTACGAAGCTTCCTAGACAGACAACCTGCTAATGTCATGTCAAACTACCAGCTACTACGTGAGACACTGATTAAAGAATTTACAGGTCCAGAGTCAGAACACGGTGTGTTAATCGCCTTGGAAACCAAACAATGTCGACAAGAGACTCCCCAAGCCTACTACCACCGCTTTCGACAAGCTTACTTAGGTGCACATAGCAAACCTGAACTTGAAGAGGATGTGAACTTCAAAACCCTCTTCCTGAGAAACCTGCACCCTGGATTGAGTCATCATCTTGGCATCATGGCCTGCCCAGGCACAATGACAATTCAACAGCTACGTGACCTGACACACAAGGCCTACATCAAACAAAAGATGGCCTCAAAGAAAGGTTTGAAAACATCCACAGTGTTAAACTCCATCAGCCAAGACACAAGCCTTGCACTGGAAGACACCCAGTGGCATGACAACTCCACAGTCCTTCATAAGGAGCACAGAGGACGTTACTCCCATGCCGATGACAGCTACCACTCCAACCACATGGAAAAGTCATGGGACCCACCAGAAGGAAACAACTGGAATCAACGAGTGCATCCAAAAGCATTCTATGAGGGTAAGCGACAACGAAACCCACCTCCGCACCACTCAGCCAAACACCACACTGAGTGTGCCCAAGAACACGACAGTCTCCCCTCAGAAGACATGGAGCAACTACTGAGGCAACTGCAAGTGTTAATCAAAGACAAGCTGAACACAGAAGACCAGTGATCACCTTGTACACCTTCCCGAGACGACCACCTGTTCTACAACAACCCAGAACAAAGTGGTCTCTCACAGTCAACCACTGACAAACACCCAGAGGTACCAGAAAACAGCATCCTGGTTACCGATCACACCACAAGCTCCAAACTCAAGAACCATGTGTGTGCTACAGCAACGACAGTAAGCACAGAAGGTCAGAAATCTGTCACGACCAGAAGGCATCACAAGAGGAAGGCAACAAAGGAGACCACGTTTTGCACTACAGCTTCACGCATCCATGCCAAACCACCTCCCAATGTCTGCCAGAGAACTTCCTGCCTTACTGGACTGACCCCCAGCAGATCACCGAAGATCCCTTTCCAAGGCAAAGACGCAACAAGCCCATCAAAGCTAAGCCATCAAGCAAAGGGGGGAGCAAAACAGACTGAGACAGATCTGACATACATGCAGTACATGCACTACACTACACTGTACCACTAACATACACAAGTTAAACACAGCTACCGTGAAAAACATTCAACAAACATGTTCTTCCCACAGGTAGACACGGAAATCGCAACACTGACTTAGCTATCCTTTCCATAGGAAACATGTAGCAATACACCCAACAAGTATAACCCTCTCATTACATTGTGACACCTGACACTGCACAACAGTAGCCATACAGGAGTCACTCAACTGCTTGGTTTTGTTTTACCTCTTCCTTTTCTTCTTCCTTTATTAGGTAAAATCCCTGTTACCCCATAAGGGTCAAGGTTACCATATAAGGATTGACGCACCACGCCTGACGAATGTTAGCCTAGAGAACTCCCTGCATCATTCGAATTAAAATGTGAAAGGTAAATTGGTCTAAACCTAGAACAATTTAGAAGAGAATAAAACAAACAAACCAAATTTAGTCACAAAGTTGATCAATCACCGTTTTAAAACAAACTAGAATAACGGTCCTAAAATTGAACTAAACTTTTTCCACATGATTGACTACATTGAGAGAGTGAACCTGTTTTAGGCCTAGATAATCTAATGCCCTGCACCAGTAAAGTGACCAGTCTTGGAGGTGGTTGCCGTGTTGTTTGCTGTGTGTGTTTGCTTCTTCTGTTTCTCCAGCGTTCAATGATGTCTTCTTCTCAACCCATCATCGATCGAAGGGGGGAATATGTAGAGACTTTAAGGATGAACCAAACACGAATTAATCTTTCTAATCTCTCATGGGATTCATTCAAATGTGATTCAGCATTTCGGATCTGAATACCACATTCCAAAGTCACAAGACTGGCTCCAAATTGTCTAGAAAACCCCCCAGAGAAGTCTTTTATGGCCCCGCAGGCATCAGAGATAAGCCTAAACAGGAAGAACGTTGTCACTGTTTCATCCTTAAGCAAGACAAAGCTGCTCAGAAATGGTGAGACGAGGCCTGACCACCAAGGGGCCTGACCACCTTTGACCTCCCTCAGCATCACCACTGCTGAGCAGGACAGCGATGTAAGACAGACCACGCTTCCATGGAACGTGAGAGACTTACACAGACTTTACATATCAAACCCATTAAAACTCACGCAGAACAATGCTCCGTGGACTTAATCAAACATCATAATTCTTGTTGTTCCTACAATTCATGTTTGTATTATGCGTAGATCACATATAAATCATGTAATTGTGATATAACTGTGTGTATGGATGAAAGGGTATCGTGCTTCCAATCAAAAGAATCGTATGCACTTAATTCAAAAGGTGGCTTGTTTGAAATCTGTGTAAAATGTTTTGTATGATTATAATAATCTATAATGTTTAAACTGGGGTCTCTTGTTCTCTGCTAAGTGCTGGAACCCAAGCAGATCCCAGATAACGATAAGTAGGAACGATCCACCTCCTAAAATGATGCCATTGTCTCATTGGTCAGAATTCTCTAAAAGAGGTTGGACTAACGTTTAAGTTAAAGACCCGAACAAAGGAGTTTAGAGTTGTCGAAAAAGAAATTCGGTTCAGAGAGCAGTTCGGGGTTGCCGTTCGGTTTTGAGTTCGGTTCGGTGTTGAATTAAGTTTTGCGCCTCTCTCTAGCAACAGCAAGAGAGTGTTCCTGTTCGTGCTTCTCTCTGAAAACAACAAAGAGCGTGTTCGCACGCTTCTACATCGACCAGACCAAATTAGACCAGCAGACAAATAACCCATCAAGATCGGGGTTGAAACAGCTCATTCAAGCCATCTAACTCGTCTTACTTTCATTTCTTCCTTTATTTTCTTTTTTCATAAAAGTCTCGGTTCAACGTTAAGTTGCTGCGAAGTTCGTTTAAACGTCTCTCCTGCAACGCGCTTCGAACTGTAAAGACTCTTATTCGCCTGCCAATTACACGTGACCGGCTGTTCAGAAACTTCCATCCAGGCACTTCAAAGACAACCAGCCACACGGACCCGGTCGGGAAACCCCTTTGACGAAGCACCGCAAAAAGGGAATTCCCTAAGCAACGCAAAGACAAGCAAGTAGCAGCTACTCCAGACTCTTAACTGAACTGGTGCTTTAAATGTAAATTGAATAACCTGTCTAAGAAACGAAGGTTTAAATTAATGCTTGGTGGTTCGTTCAGGTCATGTCTTACAAAGTGCATCTCACTCTGAAAACTCTCTCTCTCTCTCTCTCTTCCTCTGCGCCTTGTATGAATGCGTGTGTGTGATTGTGTTTAGACCTTAGTTTTATGTGTTTAGAATAGTTAATAAAGTCGTCAATATATTTGAAAAGATATTTGCCTTGTGTTGTGCTTGCACATTTAATGTCTTGTACTGTCGATCTAAAGTTACCTTGCTAATACATAGTGTTTCACTATAGATTGGATATTCATATCTGTTGCCAAGGTTATAATTACGACCCGTTCAAATGAACTCTAAACGAGTCATTTGCTCGGTTCCATAGTGATTCGGTCAAGATTCATTGCAAATCGATGAATCATTCCTTTTGAGCTAAATTGGCCTTCCGGCCCCCCTTAAATACATTTTATGTATATTATTATTGTGTGATTCGTTACAAGAGGAAGTTGAAGAGCGTTGAAGAGAGGGAGGAAACTGGCGTTCCATCCTCTTAAGGACAATGAAGTTCACACCTCCTTTAGGGTGAATGACCAATCACCTTAGAGATATTCAAGAGGGAAAAGACTCTCTTTGTCCTGTCAAGGGGGCTCATCTGCATAGTTTATGGCGGCATTAAAAGTTGTCCTTTCGACTCAAGAAAGCTGTTGCACATAGAATCATACATTTTACTGTAATCTCCTGTATGCGACTTACTCAGTTCGGCCGAGAGGATCAAAACGGTACCAAGCAGACATATAAAACGAATAGGAATTACAAAGATACATGTTAATGCATTATTACGAGCACTTATAGTTCATTTAATACTACGATAAAATAGATACCCCAATATGACATGGCCAAGCAGGCCAACATAAAAAGATATAAAATATATCTTAGTAATGTCTTTATATGAGGAAGTTAATGAAAAAGTCTGTGTATGTGTGTGTGAGATGGCTTCGTAGTCTCTAGGGTGAATTTGCGTGTGTGAAGCACACAACGGGGGGGGGCTTGGAATTCCTTTGATGCTTGGCCCAAGTGATTGGAGAGGAGTCTCCGATGTTCCTGGAGAGGATCGCAGAGTCGTAAATGGTGTCAGAAAACAATCTAATCCCAGACATTACGGGCTTGGAACGACATGAGGTAGGTGTATTTTTGGGTGAACTAACCCTTTAATCCTTATTCACTCTGAGTCTGTATGGTAGAGATGATCTTACCCCAGAAACTCCAGTTTACAGTGAGGATTCACCAGTCCAGCAGAGAAAAGCTTCACTCCTGAGTCTCCTAGTTTATTCCCAGACAGATACAGTTTTCTCAGGTGTGAGGGGTTTGATCTCAGAGCTGAAGCCAGAGCAGCACAACCTTCACCTGTCACACCACATCTCCTCAACCTGTAGAGAACAATGACCCACATTAAGCCTATATCCAGAGATAAACATGACACTTAAAAAATAAATAACATAATGCTGTCAATATTAAATATATACAAATACTAATTCAGAGCCGATCCTCCCTATACGCACACTACGCAAGTTGCGTAGGGCCCCGCAAATAACTCAAGGCCCCGCCTCCCCCTCGTCTCAAAGCGCGTCAATCAAAGTTTACAACATCGATGAGATAATTAAGCGGAACTATCCTTCTGGTCCGTAAAGAGAGACTGAGAAAAAAAAACACCATGTGAGTGAATTGAAAGTGCGTATCTATACCACGAATTTAATTTCTCGTGCCATTTATACGCCAAAAATAGTTTTTGCCTGCATATGATAGGCCTACGCAGTTTTCGCGTGCATATGATACCCACTTTTTGGCGTGTAATATGCACGCACTCCACACCCCTAATCCTACCCAAGAGATTTACAGCGCATAGCATATGCACGCAAAAAACATTTTTGGCATATAAATAGCACGAGAAATTAAATTTGTGGTATAGATACGCACTTTCATGAGATTACGTTTGATAATACAAAGGGCAACGGTGTTTGTTTCTAAACTGCAGCTCGGAATAGATAACCGCGTCGCGCGTTAACATGAGTCCATATACGCGTGCACGAAATGAAACGTGCACTTTCCAGTAAAACATCTATGGGGACCAGTTACCAGTACAATATGGGCGTGATGGCACTCCTCATTAGGCGCTCATACTTTTAAAACAAAACAATGATTATCTAGTCTCCCAGTCAATTTAGTTACAACTCTGCAATGAAGCAAGATGGAAAGCAATTTATTGACATTGATATTGCTTTTAAAATGTTGATTGGCTGGACATACTGGTCAATATGGATGCACATCCCTCAGTAAATAATAACCATCAAGTATCAATTATTGCTTTTATCATTTAAACACAGTGACATGCAATGGCAAGCCACTTTAGCTTTTATTAATTCGCAGGATGCATTTTTGATATCAATAATTAAATTTGTACTATTTTAAATGTGAATTATTGATATTCATTTAAAACATGTCTATTTCTGATGTCAGGACTTACATTTTCATTAGTACTAACTAAACGAGGGAGGATTATAGTGGGAGAACTGGGGTGTCAGGTGTGACTGTGTGGCAATGGCAAATGGTTTACATGGCTCAAGGGTCAGGTAAGAGGGCCCCTTAACAGATTTTTGCTTAGGGCCCCAGGGAGGTCAGGATCGGCTCTGTACTCATTAGTTCAAGTTGTTAAATTACATCAGTTAGGATTAGGGGATTCAATATACAGTTTGTACAGTATAAAAATCATTATTTCTATGGAAATAGTTTATAATAATAATATTTGGGCTATAATACTACTACTACTAATAATATCTATCTTTTCTTTTTTTAATGCCATGTCAGCTTCTATGGATATATATTCAAGGCGAGAAACAGGTTTTTTTATTTAAATAAAACTAAATAAGATGCCAAACTAATTAATTTAAAGTGAAAAAGCCTACATTTCTCATTCGCAACGAATCCAAATGTTTTATTATTTGCGAATCAAGCTAAACTATAATGCTGCGTTCACACCAAACGCGAGTAGAGCGTCAAATTCGCTTCTATCACGTTGGACGCTTGAACATTTTGAACCCATTCGCGCGTCCAGACACGAACTATGTTCTTATGGACTAAAGTCTGTTCGTTGTCTTTACATTAGACTAATAATAATGTTTCATATAATCTAGATTAGATTGTACATTTCCTGAAGAAAATGTGAGTGGTGCTTGCAGTGGCAAAACTCACCACTCGGTTGCTAGAGTGTGGTAAATGATTCCATACGAGCCAACAAACATGTCTGTATAATGTTCTGGTGCTGAGATATGGCTTATTCATGTTGTTCAGGTGATTGCTAGGGCGTTACTAGGGTGTTCTGGGTGGTTGCTGGGCGTTTGCTAGGATATTCTGGGTGGTTGCTAGGGTGTTGCTGGGTGGTTGCTAGGGTGTTGCTACGTGGTTGGTAGTTGTCACAGATGGTTGCTCGGGCGTTGCTAGGGTGTTCTGGGTGGTTGCTATGGTGTTGCTAGGCGGTTGCTAAGGTATTCTGGGTGATTGCTAGGGCATTGCTAAGGTATTCTGGGTGGTTGCTAGGGTGTTGCTAGGCAGTTGCTAAGGTGTTCCGGGTGGTTGCTAGGGTATTTTGGGTGGTTACTAGAGCGTTTCTATACAGTTGCTAGGGTGTTCAGGGCGGTTGCGAAGGTATTTTTGGTGGTTACTATGGTGTTACTAGGTGGTTGGTAGTTGTCACAGATGGTTACTATGGAGTTTTTACATAGTTCTTAAAATCTTTAGTAACGAGTGCCTTTAGTACGGCGTAAACGTGTCTTTACAATGACTTAACATGGAAATCACTCACGCCAGACGCTCTATTCGTGTTTGGTGTGAACGTAGCATTAGGCCTAATATGTACACTAAGCTTTGTACTTGGCATTATTGACGTAAAATATCATCTTTCCCATATAACAACACAGTGAGGCCGTCACGCTAAACGTCACAGATTATATTACAGACTATTCAAATTGAGCGCTGTAACATTTTATATGTTTGGTTGACTGTATTTTATTTTAATAATGAACAGGCTGCGATATCAAGTTAGCAATTCAAGAGATGAGACATTTTTTTTCAGTGATTATATAAATGCTGATATAGCAAATTAAAACTTATCACATAAAAATATAGAAAAATTGTAAAAAAGAGGTTAAATGGAATGAACAAAAAAAGTCATGAAAACCCCCTCTTTCAGCTCAAGTCTACCTCACAATCATTCTGAAAAATCCTCTTAAATGTGTGTGTGCAGCTGTGAGAAGAAGAAAGGGAGTGTGTGTTGCAGAGCGAGACAGAGGAGAGAGAGAGAGGGACAAGCAACTGTGATCTGCCCATGCCGGCTCTCACTACATATCAGGGGGAAACTGGAGGATTTTAGAGCCGACAGTTCAATTCCTACCAAATCATTGAACACTATCTGTATTTTCCGTTTAACTGTATGGGCCCTATTTTAACGATCTAAAACGCAAGTGTCAAGCGCAAAGCGCAAGTAACTTTGTGGGCGGATCTCGGCGCTGTTGCTATTTAACCGGCGGGATAAATGACTCTTGCGCTCGACGCAAATCTAAAAGGGGTTGGTCTAAAGTAGCTTCATTATTCATAGGTGTGGTTTGGGCGTAACGGGAAACAAACCAATAAGAGCGTCATATCACATTCCCTTTAAGAGCATGATGAACGAGGTGCGCTTGTTCCATGGTGCAATACTATTATAACGGCGCATTTACCAGGCGCTTCAGAATCAGTTCACAGCCGAGGAGATCGATGTTCTCGTCAGGGCCGTAAAAGAAAGAGAAGTGACATTGGGGATGGGACAAACCCACCCAAATTAGCTTCGGTTAAACATGCATATAATAATTTGGGTAATTTGTGTAAGCTTTATGCCTATTTTCCCATCGTCATGGACACAACAATGATTTCCCTCGTGTTTTGATATTTTTCCTTATAATAATGTATCATTTGCAAAAAGTAAAATGCGTCTGTGTAGATGAGAGAATCATCTACAGTTGTATGCGCGTTGTTCACACTCTGTATTATGGCCAAGCATGCGCGCCTAAAATAGTATCTGAATGTACGCGCAACGCGCCACTGACTTTAGACTAGTTTTTTTCTGGTCAGTGGCGCAGTTGTTTTCTGGAGTTGCAAAATAGCACTAGGGAATGTTTGCGCCCGGAACACGCCTCTTTATTTGCGCTGAACCGCCCAGGGAGCGCAAGTTCATTCCCTAGTTTGCCGACGTGCGTCTGTGGAGGGAAAAGTCCGCTTTGCACGGGTGCAAAATACGAATGATACATGCGTCGGTCAATTGCGCTGGGTGCAAGATAGGGCCCATAAAATGTTTATATACATTCACTATAAATCTATAAATATGTCAATCATTTTCTCATACAACTGTCATAAAAACCGGTTGCGTAGATCACAAATCGACGTACCTTCAGGACACTGACAATAAAGATGGATAGTGACAGAGAAGGTAGAAATTCTCGTAGCTCTCCTCAGAGAAACGCTTGTTACACACACACAGTTTGATTGTGTCGGTAGTTTCTGGCCAACCAAACGCTTGCTACACACACACACACAGTTTGATTGTGTCTGTAGTTTCTGGCCAACCAAACGCCCGCAGCGAGTCTCGGCCTGACAGCATCACGGGGGAAGCTTGCAACACCCTCAACTCTTGCACTATAGACACACACACTTGCGACCCATGAACGCCTCTCTAAACTACTGCGGGATTTTACAGGTTGAAGCGTCTGTCATAGAAAAACACCATGTGCTGTCATGAATAAGAGAAATGTCTTCTCATAGGATAAGAACACACAGTTTTAGTAATAATACAGACACTGACGCGTCATCAATGTACTATAGTGTTTCTCCATCATAATCTGTGACGTTGACATGATGTAGATTTTTTTAAACCTGGAGAAAAATCTCTACAGTATCTAGTTTCCCCCTAAAATTAAAATGAATGGACTGTGTTAATCCTGACTGTGCTGAGATTGAGTTTGTTTAAAGTTAAGGGTGTAAAATGTATTTCACGATGTCAAAGTGTGTTTTTCAGTGTGACTATCAGTCCTGCAGAATCACCTTAATGAGGAGCAGCTCAAGCGTTCAAGCATTTACAGATCAAACACATGAACTCACAGCGGCAGGAGAAATAGAGCAAACGCTTTACAAATATTAATTCTCTTACATCATATGAACAGACATAAAAATAATTTGATGCATTTGATCATGTTGTTTTAATAGCTTTGCTTGTAATTAATGAAATAGTTATTTCTCTGCATTTTATTCCATTTTGATTATACTTGATGTATTCACAGTGAGTTTCATGTGAGTCACGTATGATCTTACCACAGTTTCTCCAGTTTAGAGTGAGGATTCTCCAGTCCAGCAGAGAACAGCTTCACTCCTGAGTCTCCTAGTTTATTCCCAGACAGATTCAGTTTTCTCAGGTGTGAGGGGTTTGACCTCAGAGCTGAAGCCAGAGCAGCACAACCTTCATCTGTCACACCACAATTATACAACCTGTAGAGAACAATGACACACATTAAGCCTATATCCAGAGATAAACAATAAATAACATAATGCTGTCAATATTAAATATATACAAATACTCATTAGTTCAAGTTGTTAAATTACATCAGTTAGGATTAGGGGATTCAACATACAGTTTGTACAGTATAAAAATCATTATTTCTATGGGAAATCACCATAAAACATGGAAACCCAACATGTGTGTGTGATTGAGAGTGTGTGTGTGTGTGTGTGTGTGTGTGTGTGTGTGTGTGTGTGTGTGTGTGTGTGTGTGTGTGTGTGTGTGTGTGTGTGTGTGTAAAATGTATTTGTAAACATTTTAAGTAACTTGTGTGTGTTAGGACTGGGAATAAAAAAATCGACTCACCAAAGTATCGCAATATTTTGACTCACGATTTTAAAATAGATAAAAAATAGATGTTTTTATTCCAGAATCAATATTGATTCAAATTAAATTGCTTTAGTTTTGTCCTTGCTTATAGACGAGGTTGACAGAAGTTAGCCACTTTTGTTCCAACAGAGGATGAAGTGTGTCGTTATCTATGACTGTCGTAATATCCATTTCAAGTGGACGCGTGGAAGAGACGTGAGACTGAATGCACTGAAAAGCCCTCGTGCTACTCATATACTGAGAGAGAGAGATAAGACAGTAGAGCTGCACGATTAAACCTTTGACAAAATCATATCGCAACATTTTAAATCTGTGTTGGCGCTGCCACTGACCCGGAGAGAGTCGTCATGAAACAGCTTAAATAGAAGTACTGGGATAAAAGTTTAAATTGCAAATATAAACACAGATGTCTACGGTAGCGATCGAAAAAGAGTAAATCAGTTTTTGATAGAAACAATCGCAAATCGCAAAACATATTGAATCAGCACCCAAGTAATATCGAATCAGGAGATAGGTGCATCGTCCCAGTCCTAGTGTATTTGTGTGTGTGCGTCTCTGTACATGTGTGAGCTTAATGTATTTGTAAACATTTTGAGCGAATTTCTTCAAGTTATTGAAACTTTAGAGTGATTAAAGGTCCCCTGACATGAAATTTTCACTTTCTGAGGTTTATTTAACATTAATATGAGTTCTCCTAGCCTGTATTTGGTCCCCTCGTGTCTAGAATTTTCAATCGGTGTAAACCAAGCTTTGGCGATTTTTCTCTTCTCTGCAGCTCAGACGCGCTGATCTTGAATCTCCCCCGTATGACGTCATACGGGGGAAAGGTTACCTCCCCTTTCTTTGCTTTGCCCACCCGGAGAATTTGGCTCGCCCATGAGAAAACGAGCTAGGAACAGGAAGTACGAACGCGCCGGCGCGATTTTAGTTTTTCCTAGAGAAATAGCTTTGAGATTTGAGTTTTTCCTCGAGAGATATCATGGCTTGCAAACGTGCGAAGCATGGCAGTTGATCAGTGTTCGGATGTACAAATTAACACAAAAGTATTTTTTAGTTCCTTCATCCGAGCCTCTGAAGAAACAATGGGTTAATTTTATTTTCTCTGGAAATGCACCGACAAGTTGTGTATGGTCCAAACATTTCACCGACGACTGTTTTCTCAACTCGATGAACGTCTGAAAATAAATCGATCGAGCTACCAAGCAACAATTTCTGATGTGTAGCCTAATTGTTCAAGTTCAGACAGGGAAGTTAGTCTTTCTCCCAAAATCGTTCAATACTGTTTATGCATCAGTAAGTCAAGCCAGTGACTAAAATATCAACTTCACATCGTTTCTTTTAGTAGGATGAAAATAATCTTATTTAAATTCTGAACAAATTATACAGAAAGCGATCAAAGAACAATCTTTCCACACAGCGCGAGTTTATTTGGACAACTCGTTATGAAATCAAGGACGCACGTTACACTGAACAACGAAGCTCTTACTGTATTAGGTATTTACATCATCGTGTTCGCATTGGTGAAAGCATTAGAGAGAGCAGAAACTGAGTTGCAATGCTAAGATCTCTATCTCGCGATCAACAGACTGTCATCTGCTTGCTCAATGCTCATCACGGCAACATTTTATGTGATGGGAATAGATCTAAATACTTAAAAAACTTCTCACGATTCGTTAATCTTGATAGCTGTAATAGTAAAAACGTATAATAGCTGTAGTAAAAGTATTCGAGAAAGTTTCGCATGTAATACATAGCTATTTCATATGCAAGCATGTCAGCCAATCACAGCAGTGGCTGGCTACACTGAATCCCACAGCAGCCCATCACAGCAGTGGGCGGTTACACTGAATCCCACAGCAGACTCGCCCCTTCAAACAGAGCGTTCAAATCAGAGGCTAAAATCAGGCTAGGAAAATTGCCTTTTAATTCTAAATTATGACTATTTTTATCTAAAAAACATACTAACATTATAAGGGCAACCCAGGAAACATTATAAAATAATAAAATAACCCCATGTCAGGGGACCTTTAAGAAGCATGGATAAAAGAACAATAAGGAAGGGCTTGATGGTTTAAAAACACATTAGAACTCAAATCGGCACTCGCACAATGTCTTCTTGTGCTGCCTGACAGTTTGTGCCGTTTGAATGGTCAAATACACACAAAATTACGTAAAAAACACCCATCTTGCTTCTTGTGCGCGCTAATTTTTTTAATGACTTTACATAACAGTTTGAAAATTATGTAATCCGAGTCACATGACAATGGTAAGTGCTTAAAATCTTGTATATTAAGATATTAAGTTTTTCTTATGGCCAGTTACAAGTGCATTCTGAAGCTCACACAAGAAGTGATGCGGAAGCACAGATGAGCGGCATTCCTCTGAGTTTCACAGTTCGCTTATATCACGCTTCAAAACGTGCTGACGTTTAAGTCAAACATGAACTATTGAATGCGTGTGTGTTGGCCGGAAGCAAAGGTTTATATTGTAAAAAGTTTTAAATATTTGTATTTCTTACACCTATTGTTTCACTTCAGAAGCATTGATTCATCAGCTGGGGTTTATGGATTACCGTCGTGTTCACTTTGTGTGGTTTTTGAATCCACTTGCATTACATGGACTCACAGAGATGGATTATTCAGACTGATCTCATGAAATGGCGTATGTATGACACGCCAATTCGTATTTCCATTTTTGGCGTGCTATCAACACGCATAATCGCTTTTCAGCGTGTTTATCAACGCCTTTGACTTAACGTTATATTACTGTATTATGTATATATAAATATATGACCTACCCCAACCCCGTCCCTAAACCTACCCGTCACTGGGGTTAATACCATTTATGAGTCTTCTCCTACCATCCTAGGAAAAGAAATATCGCTCCACAGATGTAGATATAGATTTTGCTTCGTTTCGCTCGGACATTTAACGGCGTACACATACACGCGGAATCACTCGGACATTTAATGGCGTAGACATACACGCAAAAGATTTCGGCGTGGACATACACGCGGATAGCTCAAAATGCGTATAGATAACACGCCACTTGACTTGAAAGTAGCGTGTATGTTTACGCAAAGTCATGATGTCATGATGGATTATTAGTCAACACCACAATAAGGTTTCATTTGTTATGAAACGGCCCGTAGTGAAGTTCTCTGGCACATGACGTACATTACCAGTAGGGGGCAGTGCTGTTTTTTTCTCAGTTATAGCGTGTCCTGAAGCCAATAATATTCAACGGTGTGTTAACCTCTCTCTGGTGCGTATTGACAGCGACCGAGCTCATAAATGTGCGAGAACCAAATTTTTAAGTAGACTATATTGTTTATGAACAGCTCAAATAGAAATAAAATAGGAATGATTCAGTTATTAAAGGGTAACTCAACCCCTGGTCAGAGCCTGACTCCACCCACTGGCAATATCTGAAAAATACTGGAGAAGTGGGCAGAGCCCAGCGGAGATAGAGGGGACGAACCGGGGCTGAGCACGGGCTGGGGGGGGGGGGGGGGGGGGGGGGGGGGGGGTTTCACGTTTCAATAGCGCGCGCTCTCTGTAGGCGTGTTCACATTAGCAGATAATGAGTTGCCATGAGAAAGACTGACATCTCTATCTTTTCATACAGATTACATAAACAGAGTATATTTGTTTTGAATTAGATCATTTAATAGCAAAGACTTAAATGTTTATAAAGATATATTGCTTATGCCTGTGTGACTAGTATTCGCAGAGTTTTGTTTAAGTTTATCAAGCAAGATGCTTTTATACCAGGGGCTGAGCCAATGGCTGGTGCCTGCTTACGTCACACAACACCACAACTTCCAATAGGAAAATTCCACTGCAGTAGCCACCGTTCAACCTGAAGAGGGCAGCACTCAGACGCTTTTACACCATATCTTGTAGAATTAGAAGATTTCCTCAGAGAAACGCTTGTTACACACACACACACAATTTGATTGTGTCGGCCTGACAGCATCACGGTGGAAGCCTGCAACACCCTCAACTCTTGCACTGTAGACACACACACTTGCGACCCATTAACGCCTCTCTAAACTACTGCAGGTATTTTACAGGTTGAAGCGTCTGTCATAGAAAAACACCATGTGCTGTCATGAATAAGAGAAATGTCTTCTCATAGGATAAGAACACGCAGTCTCATTAATAATACAGACACTGACGTGTCATCGATGGACTATAGCGTTTCTCCATCATAATCTGTGACATTGACATGATGTAGACTTTAAACCTGGAGAAAAATCTCTACAGTATCCAGTTTTCTCCTAAAATTAAAATGAATGGACTGTGTTAATCCTGACTGTGCTGAGATTGAGTGTGTTTAAAGTTAAGGGTGTTAAATGTATATCACGATGTCAAAGTGTGTTTTTCAGTGTGACTATCAGTACTGCAGAATCACTTCAACCCTCTGGGGTCGGCAAACACGCTTGATTTTTGGTCATACAGACTTAAGAAATATGAAAAAATAAACTGTTGAATATCTTCTTTTTTATGTGCCCACTTAAATAAACAGGGTGTGCGTTCTGCCTCTCCGTCTCCGTGAACTTTTTTTTTGGAGCACGTCTCTAAAGTTAAACAAAACT